TAAGTTTGGTTGTCACGTACCTGTGAAGAGCGCCGTGCAGTCCCACAAAGTGAAGAGGCGGCCATAGCCGCGGAGCTCCACCACAAAGTAACGAAGGGGGTGAAAGAGAGGACAGAGGGGGAGATCGAGAAGAGTGAACGAAGCCATAGCCGAGGAGGTGAAGGGAGAGACGAGAACAAAAAAAAGAGAAAAAAAAAAAAAAAGAGAAGACAGATGGGGTGAGGAAGAAAGAGGCGAGGAAGGAGAACGGAAGGAGAAGGGTGGTGAGGAAGGAGAAGACGGCAGCCATAGCTGACCGGAAGAGTTGACCGGGCGTTGACCGGGTGTGATCGGGCGTTGACCGGAGTTGACCGGAGTCGACCGGAGTTGACCGGGGGTTGCCCGGGAGTTGACTGCAGCGGTGACTGCAGCGTTGACCAAGCATTGACCAAGCGTTGACCAAGCATTGACCAAGCGTTGACCAAGCGTTGACCAAGCGTTGACCAAGTGTTGACCACGATTTTGACCAAGCTGGAGCCGGTATAATCTCGCCAAGCCTTCAGCCTATCCCCTCGCCCTATGGATGTGCACACACCCTGTGGTAGTTGCTGAGTCAAGTCTGTCTGTCTCTTCTTTCTGCATTGAGTCTCTTCTGTCCAGGTGATAGGACTCTGTGGATGAAGGATAGGGCCTTGTTGACCAAACCCACACGGGCTGAGTAGAGCTAAAGACTGTGTCTGACGACTCGATTGTCTCGAAGGACACGAACCCTCCCAAGGACCGGTACTGACTGGTGGGCTGCTCGGTGTGGCACGGTAGGCCCAAAATCCGAGTTGTGGGCTGCACAACAGACCGTCTAAGTCTTTAGAAGACCTGCTGATCGCGTCGTCTTGTCTGCGACGTTAAAGAGTTCCTGAGGAGTTACGAGGGATCTCCTTAAATGCCTCCTGATCAGCAACAAGTCCTGTAGTGACAGCCTTAGAGTCAGTCTAGGCTAGAGATCCTAGTTGGCAGGATTCTGTCCGGATTCTGTAAGTCCTTAGATTGAGGCCGTGTCAATTAAGGGGGTAAAGTCTAAGTGGTGAGGAGTGGAATCGTTGTTTGGTTGTGCACCTAACACCATGGTTGACACCCGTAGCGGGAAGAGTACTACCCCGTACACCCAGGCTCAGGAGGAGCGTGCCGCCGCCATCCTGAAGGAGAGACAGGAGATGAAGGAGAAGAAGGAGCTTCTCAAGCAAGCGAAGTTGAAGGCGATAGTGGAGGAGCAGGCGGCGAAGAACAAGAAGTTGGAAGAACAGAAGGAGGAGATGTTAAAGTTACGGCAGGAGGAGGAAGAGAAGAGGAAGGCTGCCGAAGAAGAAGCAGAAGAAGAGGAAAAGATAGAAGATGAGCCCCTTGGAAGGAGGCGCAGGGAAGGACGAGGGGAAAGCAGTGGCACGAAGGGAGAAGATGCATGGATGGAGAAAAAAATTAGCGAGTGGGTAGCTAACTTATCTTTGGGAGAGGATGAGGAGGCACTATTGTACGTGCCGCAGGAGGAGAGAGAAGCATTTGCTAGGGAATTAGAAGCAAAGGAGGACCCCCTGGAACATCAAACCGCGGAAGATGAGAAACTTTTGGAGTGGAAGTTGCGGCAGGTAAGAGAAAAGAAGAGAAGGAGGGAAAAGGCCAACCGGGTGGCCAAAGAGGTGGAGAAGATCCGCGCATGCAGGCACAGGTAGAGACCCCCCCGAAATTAGATAAGATTTTGGGATATCTTGAGGTCCTGAGCGAGGCCTGGCTTGAGTAACATTAGGCCAATAAGGGTCACGATGTGACCCTTCATGCCATCCGGTCCAGTTTCAGAGAGTTTGCGCGCGACGTGGTAACCCACATCGGGACCAAGGTCAAAAGATGAAAGAAAGGCGCAAAGAAGTTATGCGCAGGTGCCATTGAAGGCGCCAAAGTAGTGGTCACGACAGAGGCCGCGTCGCGTCCCCGCAAGGAGACTGTAAAACTCAAATTCCCTGATTCGTATAGGGGGAAAAAAAACGATAGTTTTGACAATTGGGAGGCTAGCATCAACACCTGTGTGTATCTGCAGTATATTGCCCCCGAGGAACAAGTCCTCGTAGCCTTCCATGCATTAAAAGACGAAGCGACCAGTTTCGCCAGGTCCCTTGCACGCGCTGCTGATTGTGAGCATAATATGATTGCATATTCTAGGCTCACCCCTCTCTCCACTTTCCTCCAACTCCTGCGTGAGAGGTTCGCTGATGTCACAAGAGGCGTCAGAGCCTCTAATAAACTCCAAACCATCCACTCGCGACAGTGGAGGAGTGCGCGAGCACTCAAAGCTGTCATGGACGACTTAGTAGTCGTCCCAGACCATGGGGTCACTGAGACCCAGTTGGTCCAATTATTTTATTGTGCCATGCCAGAGCCTCTGCGAGGGCACTTTTTCGACAAGACCCAACAGGCCAATATCACGTATGACGCGTTGAGTAGGGAAGTGGTCCTGTTTGAGGCCAAGTCCATGCCAGTTTCCACTTTCTGGCATAAGGACTTAGATAAGGGCAAAAAGTCGAAAGGTCGTACCATATCTGGCCAGGTTAGGGCCAAGGATCATTTGATCCATACTTTAGAAGAGGGTGGTACTGACGAAGTCCCCTACAGTCAGATTGAGTGGGGGCTTGAGGAGGAAGACAGTAGTGTAGGCCAGGGGAGGACCTATGCTGCTGTCGCGGCTAGAGAGAGGCCGCAAAGTAGAGGAGGAGGCCAGGGCCAAAGGGGCCAGGCCACGGGAGGTCGAGGACCGGGCGCATAGGGGGTTGGCGGTCAAAGGAGCCGCCAAGAGGGAGGTAGGGGTCAAGGTCCCCCGCCAAATTGTCAAGGTCCCAATCAGTCCCCGTAGCGACGAGGTGGAGGGTCACCTCAAAGGAGAGGAGGTTGGCACCCAGGTTGGCCACAAGGCCGACCTTGGGAAGATCTAGGCCTGGACCAGAGAGTTTGGCAACAACGTATGGACCAGGGGCAGTGCGTATATTGCGGTGACCCAGCCCATATAATTAAATATTGTCCTAAATATAGACAGGCCCAATGGGCTGCCCAGGAGTCAAAAGGCAGCCGCCGGTAGGGGTGGCAACTGCCCCTACTATTAAGCCATGTGGGGAAGCGAGCGCGCGCGTACAGGAAACTCCCTCACCACATGAGCCTTCGGCAGAGGTTGCAGGCCCGTGCCTAGTTAGCTGTCCAGAGACTACTTGTGTTAGCGTCTCTCTAGGCACTTCCCTCACATGCGTGGCAGAGGATTTGAAGGAGAGGATGCCTGCCTGGGCCAAAATGAAGAAGGATACTAAGGGACAACTAGTCTTAGTGGATGCAGAGGTCTTTAGAAGTAGAGTAGGGGCCCTTATAGATTCAGGGGCTACCCGCAGTTATATTAACCGTAAAGCGCTAAAGAAGCTCAGGCTAGGGTTAAAAGTCCATAAGTTGGAAGACCCCATATTTATTGTCCTCGCAGACAACCGCACTATGCATGTTGAGGACTACGTAGAGGGAGTTCAGGCGTATTTCCACCTAGAGAAAGATGGGAAGGTGGAGAAAGTTCTCCATTCCCTGACTCTCCTCGTACAGGATGACCTTCCTTTTGGCATCGTCCTAGGCATGGATTGGGGAGAGACAGCAGGGGCCACACTCCATTTGAGAGAGCATGAGTGTAGGCTTCCTAGTCCGTCAGGCGAGGTTAAGACTGCCCGCCTGTTTCATGTGTCTGGAGTAGATAACTCCTTGGCACATTGTTGTCTCAGTGCTCCTACGTTTGCGCGACTAGTGTATGTCAGACCCACCACTTAGCCTAAGGAAGAGGATAGTCCCATGGATCCAACCATTGCCAAGTTGCTGGAAGAGTTCAAAGACCTTGCAGAGCCGCCGTCAGGAGTAGTGTTGCGGCCGATCCAGCACAGGATAGAGATAGAGCCTGGCAGTAGGCCTCCTAAGGGGCCAGTTTAGAGGACATCCCCTAGAGAGTTAGAAGGGTTGCGCAAGCAGTTGGATGAGCTCCTCGAAAAGGGTTGGATTAGGCCCAGTTCGTCTCCTTTTGGAGCACCAGTTTTGTTTGTCCCAAAAAAGGAAGGAGAATTGCGTATGTGTATAGACTATAGGGGTCTGAATGCGATCACAATGAAGAATGCTGAACCGCTGCCCAGGATAGACGATCTCTTAGATCGGGTGCAGGGTTGCAGATACTTTTCGAAGATCGATTTGAAGTCCGGATATCATCAGATAGAGGTCCATCCTGATGACCAGTACAAGACTGCATTCCGGACTAGATATGGGCACTATGGGTTCATAGTGATGCCCTTTGGACTGGCCAATGCGCCAACTACATTTCAACGATGTATGAATGATTTGTTGAGGGTCGTAGTGTATTTAGATGACATCTTAGTGTTCAGTAGGACCCTCCAAGAGCACCGGGGTCATTTGAGGCAGGTCTTGGAGAAGCTGAGAGAGGCTAACTTCAAGATCAACGCGAAGAAGTGCGAGTGGGCCAAGACACAGGTTTTGTACTTGGGCCACGTGCTAGACGGAAATGGCATTAAGCCTGAGGACAACAAGATAGCGACGATTAGAGATTGGCTGACGCCCCGCACATTGACCGAGTTGCGGTCGTTCCTAGGTCTGGCTAATTACTATAGGAAGTTCGTGAGGAACTTCTCGACTATCGCCGCTCCCCTTCGCAGGTTGCTCAAGAAAGAGACGATCTCCCAGTGGGATATAGATTGTACGTCTGCGCTAAAGAAGTTGAGGCGCGCGTTAATAGAGTACCCTGTCCTCAAAGTAGCAGATCCGTCTTTGCCATTTGTCGTCACTACGGACGTGAGTCGGTATGGTATAGGCGCCGTGTTACAGCAGGACGACGACAATGGGTACAGACCCGTAGAGTTCATGTCAGCGAGGATGCCCTCAGAGAAGGTAGCTACCTCGACATACGAGAGAGAACTCTACGCTCTCAGGCAGGCCTTAGAGCACTGGAAGCATTACCTGCTTGGGAGGCACTTCAAGGTGTATTCATACCATGAGACACTTAGATGGCTGAAGACACAGGCCAAAATGACACCTAAGTTGACTAGGTGGGCCGTTGAGATAGACCAATATGACTTTGAGCTCAAGCCTGTTAAAGGCAAGTATAATGTAGTTGCGGATGCTCTAAGTAGGAGATCAGACTACTTTGGAGTTATAGTTCACTATCTGGAAATAGGGAGTGACCTGCAGGAGAAAGTTAGACAAACGTATGCGCAGGACCCTATTTATAGTGACCTCCTCAAGAGAGTTAAGGAGGCCCCAGAGACCGAACCAGATTACCGCACTACAAAGGGACTGTTGTTTAAAAAGACTAATGTAGTAGACCACCTGTGCGTTCCCAACAGTGAGGAGATCCACAGTTTGATCTTAGGGGAATGCCACGACACAGAGGGACATTTCGGTTGGCAAAAGACTTTAGCCAACCTGATGCATGCATATACGTGGCCAGGAATGAAGAACGACTACATAGAGTATGTCCGCAGTTGTAAAGTTCGCCAAAGAAATAAAACCACTACCCATGCCCCTCTAGGTCTTCTTAGACCCTTGCCTTTTCTTGATCAGCCAGGAGATTCAGTGTCCATTGACTTTATGGATGCCGGCGTCAAGAGTAGGCACAACAAGAGCCAAGTCATGGTCATAGTTGATAGATTTAGCAAATATGTTGTTTTTGTTCCTTTGCCTGCAGAGGCACACACCGAGTTAGTAATTCAAAAGGTTTTTTATTTTAGGGTTGGTGAGCATGTCGTCCCATTGTCTATTGTTAGTGATAGAGATACTCGCTTCACGAGTCAGAAGTGGCAGGAACTCTTGAGAGTCTATGGATCAAAGTTGTTGATGTCATCTGGGCGTCATCCAGAGACTAACGGTCAGACCGAGCAAATGAACAAGATCCTGCAGCAAGTTCTGCATATGTACATTAGACCAGATCAAGTCAATTGGGACGAGATGTTGCCCAAGGTAGCTAGTGCGTACAATAACAGCGTGCACCTGTCCACCTGTCGCACTCCCAATAAGTTGCACAAGTCCTTCAGACCGCGTAGACCGTTTGAGGGACTTAACCGGGATCAGATTCACAGGCTACCGCCTGGTACCAGGGAGTTTGCGTTACAGCACGAGAAAGAGCTAGCTACTGTTGTTGAGAACCTCAGGAAGGCCCAACACCGGATGATAGAACTGGCTAATAAGCACCGTCGCCCGTCACAGTTCCAAGTAGGCGACTTAGTCTGCGCCAAGTCCAAAGTGTTTGCTCCTGAGGAAAACATCTCGCAGAAGTCACGGCCTGCGTATAGAGGACCGTGGCCAGTTCTAGAAGTCAAGGGCGGAGAAGATGGGCCGTCCTACACAATAGAGATTGCAGCACACCTCCACATCTACCCGGTGTTTCATGCATCAAAGTTGTTTCCGTGTGTCACAAGTCAGCAGTTTCCATCTAGAAGGTCCATGATCCCTCCAGACATGGACGGAAGGTACGACATTGACGGCATCGTAGGTGAAGATGTATTTAGAACAAGAGGTAGAGGTCGTCCACAGAAACAATATAAGGTCCGATTTGCTTATCAGGAGCCAGAGGACGACCGCTGGTCTACTAGAACAGAACTTCTAGAAACAGCTCCTGACATAGTTAGAGCCTATGAGAGAGATAAGAAAGGTAAAGGTCCTGCCTTGGACTGAGTTATTCTCGGAGGACCTTGAATTTAGGCCGGCGGGAGTGAAACGGTATCGTCGACCCCGAGAGTT